CACCATCGTATTATGTCCGGCCTTGATGGATGGTGAGGGTCTGATGGTGATATATGTATGTGTGAGGCGAAATGATGGTGAATGGTGATGTTATAGTGGTGATGGGTTGTGGTATAGTGGTGATGGATGATTGTAGAGTTGTGTTGGATGGTGACGGTACAGTGATGATGGATGGTGACTGTACAAATGTTCCTGGTTAGGTTAGGTTAGGTTAGGTTAGGTTAGATTATGGTAGGTTAGGGTAGGTTAGGTTAGGTTAGGTTAGGTTAGGTTAGGTTAGGTTAGGTTAGAGTACTAGTCCAAAGTTGAAATGCCAGTAAGTTTTTTTTCCTGTCCATATGCTGTTTTTCCTATTTCCAAAAACAAACTAACAAGAAAGAAAGAAAGAAAGAAAGAAAGAAAGAAAGAAAGAAAGAAAGAAAGAAAGAAAGAAATCCTCTCTAAATGATATACAGTGATAATAAGAGATAACATCAATAGGTTAGCAGTGAAAAGTGTCCCAAATATGTCTCATCCACAATGACGGTGAGGCTAGACTATGGCTGACTGTGACACTGCAACACTATATGAGTCTGTAAACTTTATCTAAAATATTGAGTGTTCGTGAAAATTAAGTTTGTCTGCAAATACAGAGTAGCAGTTTATCAATATTGTTAAGGGAATACCTGTAAAATTGGATCTGTACAGGTAAAGGGACACTGAAATATATTTTTGTGATGATCAATAGATAACATTAAATATATTGATTAAATAATTATTATGAAAGACAGTAAATTTAAGATTGTAGCCTGACAGCAATTCTTTTGACATATAAAAGTTCTCAAAGCTCACATAGTAAATTGTTCAAGTTCAGCAACTCTCATATAATCAATGGAGGTAGATATGTGGTCTTGAGAAGGTCAGTCAAGATTGAGACCAAGTAAATATTGAGAGATGAGAGAACTTGATGTTTATCGGGAGACTAGCTATTAGGGCAAAACTTATTGAGGAAGAAATTAATATATGTTATCTGATATGTTATGCAGTGATAAACCCTACAGCCATATGTAATGAATATATTTTAACACTTAATACAGGAAATTATACATACCTGACAACAGAAATTGACTAAGCTTATTTTCACGAAATTCAATAGCTGTCAAATGGCATAGTTAATAACAAAGTGACTAATTTAGTATCGTTATGTAGCCCATCCTCTGACCCGAACAACCTTACACCCTAACACATCATTTTAGTATTTACATCCACTAACCTACAGGCAACTAAGTCCAATGGCACCTATATCATCTGTTCACCTATTCCAGTACATTATCAATTATACATGGGCACTATACAACAGTTATAATCGATCACGCAGCTAAAAATATCCAACACTAGTGCAGGGAAAGGGACCCACATTCTCGGAATAAAAACATTGGCTATTATATTGCGTCGAGTCCTCATGGGTGGGAGGGTCGCTTACACTCCAACACCATGTATACAAATGTCAGTCTCCATACAGCTAGCTACCTTTACTAAGAATGCACAAACACGTTATAAATTTTGACAAAACTCGCTACACAACACATACACACGTACACACACACACACACACACACACACACACACACACACACACTTGCACACACACACGCACACGCACACACACGCACAAACACACACGCACTTTACATATGTTCTCTAGGCTCACAAATTCATTCATATATATTATACAGGTACAAGAAGTCGCAGGTAAGCCATAAAAAAGAGAAAGTGTCAAGTTAATGAACAGACAGAAAGACAGACAGACAGACAGAGACCACATAATCCGTTCTTAGCAGCCAATTATTTCTGTCATCTGTCTTATCTGTCTTTCCGCTCACCTTTATAATTCTGTCATCACCTGTATTTTTTTCCCATTTTTTGTCACCTTTGATAATTCCTCCTATAACGAGCGTCTACCTGGCTTACCTGTACTAATGAGGGTAATCCTTCCTCCCTTCTCTTATCTGTCAACTTCACACCACAACAACAGACTTTCATCTCTATAAACTACAACTGTTGATTCCTTCTCGATAGCAACATGATCACAACGCGTCCTTCTCTGTCTTAACTATCATGACCTTGATAAGATATCCATAAGAAAATGCATCATTATCGTCTACAGTCTCTAATATAGTCTCCCCTAACCTAACCTAACCTGACCTAACCTGACCTAACCTGGATCAATGTAGAGTTGGGGGTTCTGTACATTACTCGTGTGATCATTTGCCCCCGAAACAAAACTGCAGCAAATTGTTACCTTGTGCGGACTTTCTATTCGCCCAGGACAAATTATAGGACGAATGTAACGAAGGTCATAGAATGTTTCACAATGGTTGAGATTCGTCAGAGCTAAACTACGTCTAATGATCGTAGGAAAAGCTAAACGGTGTGTGGTTATGTGTTGTTGGAAGGTGTTCTTGTCAATAGCTGCAGGGGAGGCGCATCGATCACAGGGGAATAAAAATATATTATGAGTTAAAGTTAAAAAAATAAAAAAATTCTCAGGTTTTAAAGGATGTTATTTAATGCCCTTTAGCTCCCTCCCTCTCTTGTCTTCCTCCTCCTTCTTCTCCTCCATCACCAACACAACTTCGTCCTCCACCAATAAGCACCCACCACAACCGCCTTCTCCACCAATAAACACCCACCACAACCTCCTTCTCCACCAATAAACACCCACTACAACCTCCTTCTCCACCAATAAACACCCACTACAACCTCCTTCTCCACCAATAAACACCCACCACAACCTCCTTCTCCACCAATAAACGCCCACCACAACCTCGAACTTACCAAAGTGCAGATGCTCCACAAATCCTACCTCGTACCCGGTCGCGAATTTTACGGTGACTCTTCGTGGTGTTGTGTCCCACCACATTTCCATCCTAACCCCAGATTTCTTCCTCGTCGATGGTGAGTACGTCTGATGGGCGCCACCACTTTCACATTTCATCTTTTTAGTTGCTTTCCCGTTGCTGCTTCCACTATCATCCTTACTAACACATTTTTATTTTATTCGTATTTCCTTCTTTTTTTTGCGATATTTTCTTCATGCAATAATCGTTATATGTTATTTGCTTAAAGCTTTCATTAAATTTCCTGATGAATATAAACCATACGAGTATTTTTCGAGTATCATTCAAGACACTGTAGAACAGAGCATAATGGGCGTCTTTACACATGATCACAGTAGCTTAGAACAACACACTGTGAATCTCCACATTACTTTAGAATTTGGGAAATGTATTCTCGAGATGTCTGACAAAAGCCAAGAGTTCCCTTTCATGTCTAGAGCCTTGTCAACCAATTTAATACGATGCGAAAATATTACTCGCACTTCTATCGATGCGGTGAGGTAATGCAGCTTCGAAGGTGTTTTCTCTCCAATGGCCGCCTCGTTAACGCAAGAGATTCTGGTAATAGCTTCACCGATGGTATCATTTGGGAGATTTAATTCACCAGTGTTAGAAATTACTGGAGTTTTCTGAACTAAAACCCACAATGAGAGTCTTTTGGTTTGTGAGTTCTTTAATGGGTGACTGATTGTTGCTGCCAGATATATACTCGTACAGTAAATTGAATGAGCTTTCCTTCTGACACAGGGATGTGGCTGTTGGTGTATGGAAACATTAAACAAGCGTCATCAGTCAGGATGGTTGGGATGAATAGTCCTCCACTCAGGGCGCCTCAGAGCTTCCCCGTAAAAAATACCAACATTAATATTTGTATAGATTATACTCGGTTCTTTTGCCTCGCTATACTTCACTTCTGTTCGTTCTATATTCCGTCATTTTCATCAACATGTTGTCACTTATGATGTAGAGTGTACTGTAGTATATGTAATCTGTATAATATACTTTTTTCTACGTTTATATTTAAGTACGGTCGAAAGTGTCTCAGTTCAGATATGCTAAATAAGAGTCACGGATTTCGATCGCCTTCTTTAGCTCGGGCCAAAGTTAGCTCAAACGGATAAAAATGATGAATTTGATTTGTACTTTATACTCCAACAGACGCTTCAAGAAAGGTATTGTACTCATAGTGTATGTTATTAATAATATAATGATGTGGAAGTAATGTGAAAAATTGAGAGGTGATTAACACAAATGGGAAACATACATTTTTAACTCCACACCCTGTACCCAGCAGACATTGGATTCCTCTGATCATTTGCCATTTTTTGTGTTATTAATTTACCGTCTGGTTCCTTAATACAATACATTATTATTTACTGGCCAAGGCTGACATATTGCTCCCTTAAGCCTCTCATCCTAAAAATCGAACGTGGGAACTTGCTATTATGTTATAGAAAATATTAATAAGAAATATTCCTAAAACACTACTCTCTTATACAGCCTCAGCCTACAGCTCGACAGGTACACAACGCAAATGATGGCAGGTGAAGAAAATCTCATAAAGACGCGGGTGTTGCTTTCAAAAGATTGCATAAAAGAGGCAAAAATTTCTTCAATTCTTTCTTTCAGAGTTTTGTCTTTCAATCATCGCTCAATGCACACTTTTAGGAACTTGGTAATTGGGTTGGTTCAGAGTTTATAACTTTGAGAAAAACTTTGTATTTGTTACCTCCTATCTGTGATTGATTCTATCCCTGGTCCAATATTGACCCAACTCTTAAGAAGAAAAATATTAAACGGAAACTTAAGATTTTCGTCTGCTAACTCCCGTTGCTGATTTGCTTCGTGAGGCTTTATAAAATGGCCACAAGTACCTCTCTTATGAATGGATCAGTGCAGGTGAATGCTATGTTGAAATATAAAACATCTGATCAAACGCTTGCATGTATACGCTTGATGAGAGAGAACTTCAGGTACATACGTGTAAAAATTACCAGTTTCTCCTTCAGTATCTCACAACAGTACTGCCATCTCCAGGGATAAAAATGGTATGTAAGAAAAAGATAAAAACACGTTGTCTTCTGTAAACTAACTAACATGATATTTTGTGTTTATCCACAGAGGTGTGAACGGTAGCGTGGTGGGCGCACAGGCTGGTACAACAGCCAACCTCCCCTGCGTTATCTACAACAGAGCGGACCACGAGACTGTGAGTATATTACACACACACACACACACACACACACACACACACACACACACACACACACACACACACACACACACACACACACACACACACACACACACACACACACGAGAGATAAAGAGAATTTTAGATACCAGAGAGAGAGAGAGAGAGAGAGAGAGAGAGAGAGAGAGAGAGAGAGAGAGAGTTCATCAACTAGACAACATCACAACCAACTTTGCCTGCCCTGACAGCAACCAGATGCTGTCATGGACCAGCCACTTTGATTATGCACAGCGCAAGACACCAGACGCGGAGAATATGTAGTTGGTTGTTGAGTTTGACCTCTGAGTGGTGCCCAGGCGAGGTAACAGCGACGACAGACATAATTTATTATATTACCTACAGATTATGTCGTTGATATCAGTGGATTCATATTAGCATCAATGAAAACAGAGGTCAATTCCGACACCTTTTGCGAACCCGAGATTCCTATTTTTCCTTTAATTTTCCTATCATGGTATCATGGTAAAAAGCTCTGTCAGTCTTTCATCCCATTCATGAACCCTAAGTCTCATGAACCAGTGAATCCGAGACATCACACATTGTTGGGTTCATAGATGGTGTACTGTATCATATCTCGGATTCATAGGTTCATAAATCTCAGGGGGTTCATAGACGAGATGAAAGACTGACAGTATTTTTTTTTCCATGACTTTACCATATACCATGTTTCTCTATAACTAATATACACTTGCAATTCTTGTGTATTCATTGATCAGAGAAGACTATTATACTAACAGAGTCTTATTATACCTCTGAATGCTGTGAATCTTATGTACCTCCAGTAAACATAATTTCACATTTCAGAGTAACTTATATCTTTGTAAATAATTTCAATTTATGAGGGCGTAATAATTTCATGGTTCACAATTCTTAAAGTTTAAATGGCGTTTTGGGTCATGAATATATTTTCTCCTCTTAAAATATCCTCAAATATATCTCTGGCTGAATTGCTTTCGTATTTATATGGTCTAACTACGAGATACAAATTATTCATATAAAACTTACATTTATTTCTCATTTATACAGGTGTTAGTAGAGTCTTATCACCTGTACTCAGTGGCGGTGTACTCATGTATATCCCCTACAGGTGTCGTGGATCAGACTTCGTGATCATCACATCATTACTGTCGGCCGCCAGACGTACAGCAATGACGATCGCTTCTCAGTCACCTACAACCGACACCTCAACGTAAGTACCACCATCACTACCACTACCACCATCACTACCACTACCACCATCACTACCACTACCACCACCATCACCACCACTACCATCAACATTTTACATTCTACCTGTAGTATATATATCTGAGTCTTGAATCCAGGAAATACCATTAACATACAAGTTGACATCGAATCTCTTTGTACCTTCATAATAATTTCACGTTTCCAGCATGTTAACATTACACACAGCTCTTGCCTGTTGACTACCTGAATCGTATATTATCATCCAGCTTAAAATTCCTCGAGTGAAGTGATGTGTTGCCTCAGTAAAATATCATACTTCAAGAATTCAGAATTACAATTAAACCTCTGGAATTTTTATGAAGCGGAAATAATAATGTATCATATGCTAAATGTTATTCAGGGAGCATAATGTGTTGACAGGTAAAGTAAGTGTGTTATTAGTTTAGGTTATAATGCTTCTAGGTCTGTTTTCACCTATTAAATTATGATATATTATGAGGTTTTCGTGCTTTATAAGTTTATGATACAGTAAACATAGATTGTGTATTTTCCTTCGATATTCAGTCGTATTTTCCACCCCAATAAACTCACAGTACAATAACCAGACGGTAAATTATGAGGCCTTATGCAGTTATCAGCCAACTATTGTTCTCTCAGAGTTGTATTAAAAGCTTATGATAAAAATAGTGTTATAAGCTTAGATTTTTCACATAGTTTTGAGAGCCAAGTTAGGTTAGGTTAGGTTAGGTAAGATTTTTTTTATCCTTGAAGAGAGTAAAATATCTGAGTCTTTATCTACACCTAAACAGCTGAGATTTATTCCTCCTTTTCCAACATTTCCTCATCTTACAAAATATTCTAATTAATTTTACTCTTTACATCAGTTACAACTCTAAACAAAACTCTAATACGATTTACTCTCACCACATCCAGAGTAGAGCATTACGTTGTGTCTTCTCCTCTGCTTCCTTAATTAGTGAGAATAAATCGAGGAAAAACAAAACGATTCAGACGCCAGACTTAACATACGTTACCTGTGTTATATGTATGAATCAAAGGTCTAAGGTCAAAGGTCAAAGGTCAAAAGTCAAAGAGCAATGGCCAAAAGTCAAAGGTCAAAGGTCATAGGTCAATAATAGAATGGTAGAGGGCAGGTAATTTTCTTTCGGGACGTCAAACTGATTTGTATGTGTCCCAGATGTTGCAAATAATTAAGTAGTTTGTGTCTGTTTCCTCATTCTGTGGCTTTCTGTCGGGACAGTGAAGTGTGTGATGCCGTAGGGAGGATTTGTCAGGTGGGTAGGTAGGTAGGTAGGTAGGTAGGTAGGTAGGTAGGTAGGTAGGAAGGTAGGTAGGTAGGTTGGTAGGTAGGTAGGTAGGTAGGTGGGTGGGTGGGTGGGTGGGTGGGTGGGTGGGTGGGTGGGTGGTGGGTGGGTGGGTGGGTGGGTGGGTGGGTGGGTGGGTGGGTGGTGGGTGGGTGGGGGTGGGTGGGTGGTTGGGTGGGTGGGTGGGTGGGTGGGTTTGGGTTGGGTGGGTGGGTGGGTTGGGTTGGTGGGTGGATGGTGGGGGTGGGTGGGTGGGTTGGTTGGGTGGGGGTTGGTTGGGGTGTTGGTGGGTGGGTGGGTGGGTGGGTGGTGGGTGGGTGGGTGGGTGGGTGGGTGGGTTGGTGGGTTGGGAGGTAGGGTGGGTGGGTGGGTGGGTGGGTGGGTGGGTATGGGTGGGTTGGATGGGTTAGTGGGTAATGGATTTATCGTCCTGCAGCCCAGTGTGTATGTGTGTGTGTGTGTGTATGTGTGTGTGTGTGTGTGTGTGTGTGTGTGTGTGCAAGAGAGAGAGAGAGAGAGAGAGAGACAGACAAACCGACAGAGAGGTAAGACAGGTGTTGTGAAGGTATGACAGACCTCTTACACCTGTTCGTCAGCCCACCTACACCTGCCCGTCATACCCTCCTACACCTACCCCAGCATGAGTCACTTGCCGTTGTCTCCCAGTATAAAACTTATTAGGACAAAACTGCGGCTTAAGTCCCTCCTCGTTCCTACTTTACCAAATGCCATCAAAGGTTCTCCGTCTTATTAACTCCTTATTTTCAGTCTGTCATATTTCTTGAATGTTTATGATCCTCTCTGTCTGTGTGTTTGTGTCTGTCTCTCCGTCTCTGTCTGTCTCTGTCTGTTTCTGTCTGTCTCTCTCTCATCCCATCTTCTTTATACTACCTCCATTACGACGTTTCTTTTAAATTTCTTTCTCCTCACATTTACCTCAGCACCACACCTCATACTGCCAACTGTCCCATTGTCTGCCACAGAACCACTTGTCAGGTCCCTCTCCTCCCTCTCCTCCCCCTCTTGTCCTCACCTAATCCTCGTAATCTGCATCCCTCTCTCCCTCTCTCTCCCTCTCTCTCTACCTCTCCAAGTGTTTTTTTTCTTTTATAAAGGGAGAAAGTGATGACTAACACCATTCACTTCACGATCCAGTTACAGTAAAAGTGAAAAGACAAGAGATACGATTGATAAAAGGGGAAGAGATGTAAGTAAAGGCAAAGAACAAGATGGTGGATGTGAGATCTGAATGAATGAGAGGTTTGTGTGTGGGAGGAAGAGCAGTTGGAGGAGCAGGGTCGTTGGCGAGTGTTTATTGCGTCGTCGAGCAGACTGGATAGGTGTATAGGTTGGTTCCATTTGGGGTAAGATTAACACAGTAGAGTTTATTGAGGTATGAGTGATGATAATAAACAATACCAACAAAAATAATAATAATAATAATAACAATAACAACAATAGCATCATTTCTGTGTCAGTTCCACGTAAACAAACAAAGGTAACAGGAAAGCTACACACACACACACACACACACACACACACACACACACACACACACACACACACATTGAAAAATATACTTTCACGGGTAATACTTGAGACGCCAAGGAAACAAATTGTGTTTCTATCTGTCACAAACACTTCACTCGAGTTCATCCTTGGTATTGTACTGAGCCAATCTCTTCTGTTTACCGTACACAGTATAGCTAGATGACATTACGAAAGCTTCTGATAAGCTATTCAACTTTCCTCTCCTCTTGCGATGATAAAAATTAAAGAATAGAAGAAGAAGAATTTTGAAGAAAATAAAACAGATTTAAACAAGAAAATGAAAGAAATGTTATTGAAGTAATGTTAGAGAAATATATGACTGAAATAATATAAAAAAGAAAGACTAGTGTTTGATCAGGTGAGAGAGAGTAGGAAGATGGTAATGGCATGAGTGAGTGAGTGAGTGAGTGAGTGAGTATGAAATAGATAAATAAGAAAATAAATAAAGAAATAGTTATTGATGAAGATTACATAGAATACTTTAGGATAATAGAAGTAATATATGATCAATTTATAACAAAAAGCAAAGTATATTTATTACCCCCCTCCCCAGTAGAAGTATCCAGCAGGCGACAATAATAGATTGTTATATAATAATCAACACCGAGCGTTCATAATTTATCTTAGGAACATCGATAATTTTAACGATATGTGTCCGTCTCTTGTATACTGATCTCTACATGAGTTATCGTAGTAAAGTGGTTGATTATAGTTAGGAACAACACAGACACAGAGATACACAGACTTAAGATACACACACACACATACCTCCACACACTCCTCACACACACATATATACCCACACACACACACACACTCCCCCCCCCCATACACACATACCCCACACACACACACTCGTCCCCCACACACTCACCACCTCTCACACATACATATATCCACACACACACTCACCACCTACACACACACATAGCCCCCCCCTCCCCCACCACCACACAGGGCATTAAAGTAGTCTCACAGCATCAAACAGGTACTTTTAATTCACACCTGAGCAGCTGGCATAAGACGTGGCCATAATCATAACACTAAAATGATCTTCCCTCATAACATCACCACGGCTCATAACACTCCTGCTTATAACTGGGTCACAGCAATACCATATCTCTGAGGTCATGAAAGAAGTTGGCACTGTGTTATAAACTTGTGAGTATGTCATAAAATAAGTGGTGTGTTGCAAGACTACTGCATAATGTCATATTGTGTGTTAAAAATAGTGTGTGTGTCGTGATATCGGTGTATCATAGCTAGTGTGGTATAAAGTTAGTGATTGTCATAAATTTAGTGTCATGAAACTAGTATGTGTCGCATAAAATGTGCCATGAAACAAGTGTCATAGCTAGTGTAGTATAAACTAATGGGTGTCATAAATCTAGTGTCATAAAACCAGTGTGTCATGACTAGTGTGTCATAAATCTAGTGTCATAAAACTAGTATGTGTCGCAAAAGACTAATGCTCTATGTGGCAAATAACGAGTCATAAATTTGTTAAAAAAATACTCGTAGGTTATCGAACTAGTTGTCATAATTAATCTACAATAAAACTAATCCGGGTTAAGCTCACAACACCTGCGTGACCTAATAACAGTATCAATCCCAGTCTGATAATAACACTAATTTTTCCTGGTGGCTTTACGAGTGTGTGATCAAACCAAACGAACTGTGCCTTAAGATTGACCCAGGAATCACAAAATCACTCTCCAATATCCCAAGTAGAGTTATAATCTGGGTATCAAGGTGTTATAACTTGAGATTCAGTATAATAGGTGTTTAGAGAGTAATTTTGCACCCTAGAATGACTTAGAGTTCGAAATATACCTAAAAATCTATAGATGATAGTGTTAGTTCTTGGTAGGCGGTCTCTCTCTCTCTCTTTCTCTCTCTCTCTCTCACTTAACCGGTATTGAATGGAGAACGAAAATTGTATCTCCTATTAACATCGTCGCCTTTTTTCCACTTGGCGTGAGGCTTCTGGGTGAACATTTTTGTATTACCACTAATTGAGAGAAGAATTTTGATTGGAAACTACATCGAATACACCAGAAATAGCCAGCGAAAACCTTAACACGTACATTTAGACAATATCAACGTATATGGAGATTCTTACGTA